TGAGGCCAGTTGGGCTACACAGTGAGAAATCCTCAGGACCTGGAGTAACGATCGCACCCCAGTTTGGAGAACGACAACACTGTCGCTCTGCTTTTTTGTTTTTGTTTTCAGTATTGGTATTGAATGTAGAACCTCTGCATTCGGCTGTGTCCCCAGCCCTCTTTCATTTTTAAAAATTTGCCTTTTTTTTTGTGGTGCTAGGGATTGAACCTTGGGTCTTGTACATATTAGGCAAGTGATCTACTACTAAGCTAGCTACATCTTCAGCCCTAACTTTTAAATTTTTATTAATTACTTTTCTTTATTTCATATCACAGCGTTCATTGGTACACACATAACGCACGCTCATCCTAGAGCGTCTGTACCTGAACATGACACCTCCTGCCTCTTTTCTCCCCTCCCCTCCCTTTGCACAGAAGCTTTGTTTCCATTTTCCCTGTTTTTTCTTGTCCCTCCCTTCCTTCCTCCCTCTCTCCTCCCTTATTTCCCTTCCCATCTGAACATTTTCTTCCCATTTCCCAGTACATTTCAGTCCTTACTTTCATTTTTGGTTTCTGGCACCAGAGAAACAATGTGGTATTTAAACATGTGTGTCGATTTATTTCACTTAAGAGTGTGGTCTCAAGGTGCATCCATTGAGTTACGAATGTCTGAAGCTCATCCTTCCTTATCCCAGCCCTAACTTTAAACAATTTTCAAACTTGTTTTGCTACGCCCTGTTGCCCAGGCTAGGCTCAAACTGGCAATCCTACTGCTCCAGCCTCTCAGTGTGCTGGAATTACAGGTGTATTCCATACACTTGCCTTTGGTTGTTCTTTAATGTATTCTGATATAATTGTATGCATAAAGATTTTTAATATATTAGCCAGACATGGTAGCATACACCTGTAAACCCAGCAATCAAGAGGCTGAGGCAGACGTTTGCTTCGAGTTTGAGGCCAGCATGGACTACACAGTGAGACTATGTCTCAAAAAAAAAAAAAAAAAAAAAAAAAAAAAAACAAAAAAAAAAAGAAACAAACAAACAAAAAAAGCTTTTGCATGTATTAAAAACTGCCACTGGGGATTTAGCTCAGTGGCACCGTGCCTGCCTTGCAAGCGCAAGGTCCTGAATTTGATCCCAGGTAGCAAAAAAAAAAGAAAGAAAGAAAAAAAGAAAAACTGCCATATGTTAAACTTTTCCTAGTTACTATTTGTACTGGATTGAATAGTACCCCTCCCAAACCCAGGTTCTCCAAGACCTCAGAAATTGAGGTCTCCAGTGCTGCCAGGGGACCAGGGCCAGCAGCACTGCCGTCAAGACTTCCGGCCTCCAGAGCCCTAGGAACACAGGTCCGCCGTCCAAGCCTCCCCATGTGGGCAGTGTGCCACACCGTCCCTGGGAAACTGCTGCATTTATCTGACACTGTGACACATGGCGCTGCTACCAAGGACACCCCTAAATGAATCCTCTAGCTTCGCTTGTCCCAGGTTGACTTCAAATCACTCATTTTGGAGGTCACGCAGCCGGAAGACAGGTTATTGGTCCCCGCCATGAATCTGGGAGTTGGTACCTGTGCATAACACATCTTAGTTTTCTAATCCCCTTCCTCCCTCCCTGCCAGGTTTCCATGATGCTCTCCACTCTAGTCTGCCCAACCCCTTCCTAGGCCCTGGGGTCAGGTGACCTCTCAGGAAGCCCCTCCCGCCCGGGCGGCCACTCCCTTCCCAGCACCCACCCCAGGGAGCTCCTCTGGGGCCCATGCTGACCGCTGACCGACATCGCATTCCCGCCATGGGCTCCACACTCCCGCAGCTGGCTCCTGCTGTGGCCCCACCCCGGGCCTGCCACGACTCGGGGTGCCATCGGCCTCCTCATCTCAAGCGGCTGTGCCATCCCTGGGCCACTCATTTCTAAGGGTGACCTGGGGCTTGCCCCCACCTCCCACCTGTCCTCCGGCCCTTCTTTCTGACCCCAGCCTGCAGCGTGACCTTCCCACTGCAGTCCCCAGTGCATTTCTGAGACCTGTGGCCCTGTTTCCTCCACAGCTACCTTCCCGCTTTCTCCATGCATCTGTGTCTGCAGTCAAATACTCGGCAATGCCCTTGTCCCGCCACAGTGCTGTTACGGGCTGTGCCAGTCGTGCCAGGGTGTCCACCAGACTGAAATCCACCTTCTTTCCTGGGGCCCTCATGGCGATGCAACTTCAGGATGCAGAGGCCTTGGCCCAGGAGTCCTTTGGGGTCTGCTCAGCCTGACTCTGCCAAGAGTGGCCAGCAGGTTCTTGCTTTCCAGAGGGCACCTCTGTCTCCCTGCGCTGTTCTCATCTTTCAGGCGTGGTCAGGCCACACCTCTGGGCTCCCGCAGCCACTGAGCAGACAGGCCCCAGCTTGAGGTGGCCTTGGCAGCACCAGAACCTTAGAACCCCGCCAGGCTTTTCCGCAGTGGTTCCAGACCTGCTCTGCAGCCAGGCAAAGGACCAACACATAGATCTATAGTTAAGTTCTAGGGCTGGGGATTTAGCCCAGTGGTTCCACTGTTTGCCTTGCAAGCGCAAGGACCTGAGTTTGATCCCCAGTACAAAAAGAAAAAAATAAGTTCTGGCAACCAGTCACATGCAACTTAATGATTATACAGCAGGTAAGACTGCCTGCCTCTCAGGATGGTTCCTCATCGAGTTACAAATGCCACATTTCACCTTCCAATTGCAAGGAAAACTGGGTTGTAGCTTAGTAGAAGGATGTATGTTTAGCACATGCAAGACCTTAGTTCAGTCCCTAGCACCACAAAGGGCAACAAAAAAAAACACCTCCAAGCTGCATTTTGAGGTGTGCGTGTGTGGGCACACGTTAAGGGTTACACGGAGCACTCCCATTTATTTGGGGTTTATACACTGGTACCTCAGTTCACAAACTCAGTTCTCTTCATGATTCTGGTTGCAAACTGAGCTGGTGGTGAAGAACCAAATCAAATCTCCCCCTAAGGTCAACACTGACCCTTAACCACTGAATCTGATTTGGTTTTCATGCAACTCGGTTTGTCATCAGCATCATGGGAAGAACCAAGTTCATGAACAGAGGTACCACTGTATGTTTGAACACTCGTCCTTCCTTTTTTTGGTACCGGTGATCAAACTCAGGGCCTTGCACTTGCAAGACAGGCAGTGGTGCCACTGAGCTACAGCCCTGGCCCACTGTTTATTAGTTTTACACAAATTCAAACATGGTTTCCTCCTAGGTGACCTGGAAAGTGGGGAGAGGAGGAATCACTTTTCTATCTTAAGTTTTTGTCATTTTAAAGCACTACCCATATGAAAGCTTGACCACCCAATGAAATGCAGTATCCTGGAACAGAAAAAGGGCATTAGTGCCAAACTGGTAAAATGGGATGCGATATGATCTGACTTGTACTGCCCCAACGTCAAATTTTTAGTTTTGGCAATGAATACAGCTTTCTTGCTGTCGTATCCTGGCTCACAATTTCCCTGAACTCACTCCTCCCCCGCTGGGTACCACAGCATTTATTCTTCCTGAGGTTGGAAGCTATACTCGCCATCCAAGGCTAAACTCAACCCCTTGTTCTGTAAAGCTTTCCTAGACCTCTCCCCGTCCTCTGAAGTCATGGTGGTTGACAGCTGTGACACATGGCTTTCTGTTGCTTGTGTTTCTACCATTTAGGTGGCTCAGGAAGCAGACTCTTTAAGGTGAAGAGAACTAGAGTTCAGGTACAATTTTTAGGGATCAACACCTGAGGAAGGGAATGAGCAGAGACTTTGCTACAATGCAGTTTAACAAAGGCTACAGCAGGTGCCACAAGGAGCTCTGGAGAGACCCTTCAATCTTGTCCCAGAGAAGACAGGGCCCTCTGGATGTGGGCCACACAGGAAAGGAAGTGACTTCAGCAGAGGCACTACCTGTGGAGGGCCTAATGGACCAGGCCTGTGCCAGCCATCTCCAGCAGCGGGGAGACTGGCCTTCTCCGCTGAAGGGGATGGCGCATCACAAGTGGTGATCCAAAAAGCCAAGAATGATGGGTTGTGTTTGAAGAAAGAGGGAGTATTAATACCAGTTTAACCGTAATAAACTAAAAAGACATTTCCGGTATTTAAAAAATATAGACTGCCTCACAAATTTGCACAGGAGGCATACTAATCTGCTCTGTGTAGTTCCAATTTTAGTATGTGTGTCATTCACTGTATTTTTGTTTGAGACAGGGTCTCACTATATAGCTGAGACTGACCTAGAACTCACTATGTAGCCAGGCTGGTCTTGAACTCACAGCGATCCTCCTGCCTCAGCCTCCTGAGTGCTGGGATTACAGGCGTGTACTACCATGCCCGGCCATTCATTGTATTTTTAAATCTTACCTGGTATCTCATGTCAACTCCAGCCCACTATAATTACATTTTGTCACTATGCTCCAAATGCAATAGAAGAGTCTAATTCAATCCCCGGTACGAGAGAACAAAAAGTCTAATTCAAATTGGAATCCGGCTGTGGTGTCACACGCCTGTAATCCCTGCACTCAGGAGGCCAAGGCAGGAGGATCGCTGTGAGGTCAAGGCCAGCCTGGGCTAATGAGTTCCAGGTCAGATCAATCTTAACTACATAGTGAGACCCTGTCTCAAACCCCCACCCCGCCCCCCAAAAAAGAAAAAAACCAAAACAATAAAACCAAATTGGATAGTCCAGCTCTGATCTGAAACTCTGAAGGTACTTGGGCTCTCAAAAGGCAAGGCCTGGACCACAAGGTTCCTCCCTACATGAAAAAACAAATGTGTTCTTTCCTCAACGAGGTCCCACACAGGTACAGTTCCCCTGGGACCAAAGGCTGAGGGCCTCAAGAGAGCAGTTCAATGAGAAAATGTTCATTCTTAAAGAAACAAAATTTCTTTCTTTTCTTTTTTTTGATACCGGGGATCGAACTTGGGTCCTTGCACTTGCGAGGCAGGTGGCGGAACCACTGAGCTAAATCCCTGGCCCAAGAAACAAAATTTCTTAATAACCTTCTAGATCTTTTGTCTTTTCAAGCAAATGATTAAGTTTATTAACATGGTTAAGTGGTTTTTTTTTTCTTTTTCTTTTTTTAAACATGGCAGGGTTTTGACCTCAAATACTCATTAGGTCTGCTACTCATATAAACTTGCAGCTGGACAACATTGGAACTTTGAAGATGCCTATTCACTGACCAATTAAGATCCAATATAGACAGTTCCACACCTTTCTTCACAGCTCCTCAAGAGCCTTTGCCAATAGCTTTTGTTTTACACCCATAACCCTTGTTACACCAACTCTACAGAACATCAAGATCTCATCCCCTCTTCTAAGTGCAGTGGACATAGGGCTGAGTTAAGTGACCAAACGCACCAGACAGGTTACATCAGAGGGTGCATCACACAGAATTTAAATTTTGAACAAAATATGTCTCTCCTCCTTTGGTCTCACACAGAAATTAAAAGTCTCCCAGTACAAACAATATCATCCCCTCCTCCTCCTTCTGGTCCATCAGTCCCTGCCAGATCAGGCTCATCGGCGTCCCCAGTTGAAATCTGGTCCCCTCTTCAGCAGCTGCGGCAGAGTCATCTTCCAGAAGGAACGCAGCTGTTTCAGCACCTCCAGAGCTGCAGAACTCCAATTCCGAGTCTCACATGTCACAGACCCAAAGTTCCAGGGAGCTATCACGTCACACAAGAAAGAGCAAAGCATCTCAAAAATTTAGAAATAATAACCAAAGCCCATAAACAAATGTGACTGCCGCAAGAGCTTACAATCTAGGCCCTAATTCCGGTACGTGAGAGCATTTCCGAACAAAAGTTACTTCCCCAAACAAAAGCATTTAACAATCAAAACTTATGGAGGTCATCAACCACAGACCATAGCGGAAACGTAGTGTAAGTGAGGACAGAGTGTAGACAGAAAAAAGGGAAAACAAAAGGCTCTCTGGTTTCAGCTTCTCCGGGGTGTCAGCCAATCTCCATCACTAGACCAGAATCCACTGGCTGGAAAACCTAGAGCACAACAGGGAGAGATGTATCATCAAGAGGTCAATCCCGAGGGGATCCAACCCAAGCCTAGGACTCCACCTGTCTAGGGGCACCTGCCTCATTCCGGTCTTCCAGCAATATCTGGAATGGTCCAAAGGCCTTCCCTCCGACAAATTTATTTCCATTCCCCTGGGCTAGACAGGTGGATCCCTTGGTGACATTTAGGTTTGTTACTGTTTTTTGGTTGAGACAGGGTCTCGCTACGCAGTTCAGGCTGGCCTTGACCTCGCGGGGATCCTCCTGCCTCAGCCTCCCGGGGGCTGGGACCACGGGCATGCCTCACCACGACGACCTCGGGTGACAGCCCAAGGCCCTCCAGGCCAGAGCCAGAGGCCGGCGGAAGACACCAGGTGGCCCCGCCCCGCCCCG